GCTGGTCTTGGGAACACTGCCTGGGTCCCCACGGGGCGCTCCAGGGGGCAGAGGAGGCCTAACATCCCAGCCCTCTTCTCTCACTATGGGAGTCACCAGAGGACTGCACCTCTTTTAGGGTTCTTTGGCAGGAGAACAGCTGTTCATGAGAATTTGTGAGGAGGTGGGAAGGCAGTTCCTTGGAAGAGGGTCTAGCCAGGGCTGTTTGGATCTAATTGAATCAGAAGTCCAACCTGCTGCAGAATAGCTGGAAACTAAGTAAAGGCTTCAAATCTGAGGTTTCAGTTCCAGAAACAGGCACAGTAAGCTGGGGCTCACTGGAATCTACACTGTAGATCCACCTCCCCACACACACATACACATGCACACACACGTGCACACATTCCTCACTATGCCAGGGACTGTGTACAGACTCACAGCCACTTCCAGGGCAGGGGATTAAGCGCCACATCTGTACCATCTGCACCATGTGTACAAATCTGAGCCTTCTTGACTGCAATTTCTCCTTTTGGCTGATTTGTTTGGCGTTCCCTCTCTGGAGCTGGAGGAGAGGAACTTCTAAAATACAAACATTGTCAATGGCTGTGGTTCTTTGTGGCATTCGAGGCTAAATGCTTCTACCCTGAGGCACTGGCAGCATATTAATGTCAGTGCCCTCCCCTCTTAAGAATTTTCCTTGAAAAGTTTGAGAAGTACAGGGAGTTAATGTGTACACCTTAGTTTGGATAGAACACCACATTGTTTTCTACTTCCCCTTCTTTCTCTCCTGATCATCTGGCCATTTCTACTCTGCTGGTCTGGTTTTTTTCTTCTATGTGTGAGGGAGACAGAGACAGCGATGGAGAGAGAGAAAGAGAATGAGAACCTCAACAGGGTCTTTTTTTTTTTAAGGTGTATTCAGTTCTCTTTTTTAAAAGAATTATTTTATTTAACTTTATTTATATTTTTTAATTTGACCAGAGAGGGACAGAGTGAGAGAGAAAGAGAGACAGAGAGAGAGAAGGAGAGAGAGGGAGAGAAAGTGATAAAGCAAGCCGCTAGGTCTAGGACTTGAACCACGATTGACCATGCGGGAGTCCAGCCCCCCTAACCACCATGCCACCTGCTGGCCCAAGAACCTCAACAGGGTCTTGATGCCACAATCCACTCTTGGCTTCAGCCAGCCCTAGATCGGGGGCACAGGCATGCCCACCATACTCAGGGAGGTCTCTGGACAGTAACTCAGAATCTTCACATGTAGGTCATCCTTGAAGAGTGTGCGGTTTTTCCACTGCACCACCATCTGGCCCTACTCTGACATTTAAAAGCCTTGCAGGAATATGGAGCACAGCCCCATTTCACAGACCCTACCTCTGAGCTGTTCCTGCATGACCTTCAGATAGCCAGTGTCCTGCCATATGTTGGAAATGGAAATCTTTCCAGCTAGTTAGGACTTTCCTCCTTTACTCATAATTTTTTTTTTAAAGAAGTTTTTGCTATAAGGCCTGTGCACTCACCAGAAAGATAGAGAAAGATGGAGAGACAGAAAGCGAGAAATCACCCCCCTCCCGGGGGGATGGCCACACCACAGTCTCTTCTCTATTCTCCTCTCGGGATCTTGGGCACACACGTACACATGCCCAGCGTGAGTTTAAGCCACCGGGTCCGGGACTCGAAGCACAGTTGACTGCATGGGAGTCCAGCGACATAGCCATTACACCAATTGTTGCTCCCTACTCAGATATTTTTTACATCAGTAGCAGAACTGGAATTGACTGGAAGGCCCAAAGCAGCCAGGGTGCTGTTCTCTGCCTGTTCACATGTGCCCTGCTCTCCTTGGAGCCAGGCAAAAGTCTGCTACAAGTCACAGAGTTCAACAAAGGTTAAGGGAATTGTGAGTGAATATGACTGTTTTGGAATTCTGATGGAAAGGGGGAAATACACTCCATCTGTTGCACTAGGGCAGTTCATTGCAGCACACAGAGCAGTTACTAGAAGGGTATAGAGTCTTGTGGGGGGAGGGGTTTAAACAGAGTCTCAAGTGCTTCCCAGGCTAGCATCGAACCTGCACTCCTGCCTTGGCCTTGCAAGTAGTTGGGATTACAGGCACGTGCCATCACGTCCAGTTTAGGCATGTATTTTGAAACGTTTGGCAGCCCCAGATTGGGATCATGCTCCCAGAGAAGAAGTGGGTGAGAGGAGGAAGCTAAGCTTTCTCAGTAAGTCATGGAAACACAGCCTCTAATTTAGATCTCAGGGAATTGCAAAAGTCATTTCCTTTTGAAATCAGGAGGTAAGAAAATGAAGGGCCAATCTAATGAGAATCAAGGATTTTTTTTTTTCAATGTAATTGTAACCTTTATTCAAAGTACATACTTTTTTTTTTTCTGGTTTGTCTAAATATAAATGGCTTAATCAGGCCGAGTTCAAACTACTTTGCATTTAATTACATGATTTATGAATGATTCTGTTTTTGTAATTGCCAGAAGATGCTTACACTCAACAGACAGAGACAAAGGGAGAAGGCACCCCTAAGTGGGGTGCAATCATGCTTTAATCCCTTCTTCATTCCTACATCTCTGCATGCTGTCGGGATTTGGGAGCATTCACACACACACACACACACACCAGTGTGTTTTTCAAGCCTCTGAAGCTGAGATTTTGAACCACAGTCAGCCATGTGGAATCCAGCTCCCGTAACCACTAGGCTACAAGGCTAGCCCTATGAATCATTCTTTAAGGGCTTCTAGAATCTTTTCTTTTGGCACACATTTCTAAGTGTGCTAAATAAATAAGGAACATGTTAGTAAAATCCAAGGATATGCATACATAATCAGTGATAGCAAAGGACAAAACACAGCTTAGCTCCTCTCTGACTCATCCTTATGGACAAACTTCAGTATGGATGGATTGTTCATGAAATACAGTAATATATGGTAGTAGTCCGTTGCTATGTGCTGTGTTTGAGAGTTAAACATTATTTGTGATTTCACAAACTTGGGTTGTATAAGTTCAGTGAGTAAGTTTAAATAATCAACTCTTGATAAGTTCTTACTTTTAGTTTCACAGGGGGACTGGCCTTAGCCCAGAGCATAGGTAACTTCATGTATTACTGCTGATATTGTAGCCTAGCATTAGTTAAATTGAATATGTTTGTTTGGATTTTCCTAAAACTCTTCATCCTCGACCATCCATGCTCTGTTCCTTCACTGGTTGCCTTTGATGGCTCCTTTTCAATCTTTTAGCATCCTTCATTGCTCCTGTCTATCTCCCTCAATGGATCTGGAACTCCTCCGGGGAGATTTCCCTCTGTCTCTAGCTGCATGACTGCTCTTGAGCACCAGTGCTACAGTGCCAGTTCTCTCCTAGAATTTTCCTCTTGGCTGTCCCTTTTGTATCTCAAACCCACTATGATTATTGGTAAGATTTCCATCATTTTTTAAAATTTGCCAGAAGGTGCATGCACTCACTGGCCAGAGACAGAGAGAGAGGGGGAAAGTGAGAAAGCACCTCCCATGGGGGATGGCCACACTGCAATCCCTTATCCTCCATTTCTCCAACCTCTAGGGATTTGGGGCCTGCATACACACACACCCGATGTGTTTCTCAAGCCACCAGGTCTGAGACTTGAATCATAAGGTTGGCTATGCAGGATCTAGCCACCTTAATGACCACACCACAGGCTGCCCAAGACTGACATCTTTCCTTTCCCTGTTTCTCTCTATATATATTTTTTTAATTGCCAGATTCTGTTTCACTGTTTAAGGATCCATCTTTACCCTACCATCAGCATCATACAAGCCATTATAATCACAAGGCCAAGCTGGCCCTGTAGCCTAGTGGTTAATGGAGCCAAATCCCACATGGTGGACCTCAGATAGAATACTGGCTCCCATGGCTTGAAAAACACACTGGACTTATGTATGTGTGTGTGTGTGTGTGTGTGTGTGTGTGTATGTGTGTATGCACACGCTCCCAAAGTCCTGACAGGATAGAGTAATGGGGAAGGGATTGTGGCCATTAGGGAGTACTTCCTCCCTCTCTATCTCTCTGTCTCTCTCTAGCAAGCACATGCATGCTTTGGAAATGAAAAATAAAATCACAAGGTCACATCCCACGTCTTCCCTTTCTGTCCTTCATTTCAGTACCAAACCTTATTTTTTTTTTTTTAAATCAAAATGGCTATGTCTTGAATACAAAGTACCTTATCCATCTCTGCTGCCACTGTCTGGTTTAATGCTTCATATTCTGTCACTTAGATTATTGGAATTTCATTTCAAACTTTGTATACCAAATCTGAGCTAACGATTTCCCACCCCAAATCTGCTCTCCCCATTGTCTTCCCTATCTCAATTTATGGCAGCTGTATCTTTTCAGTTGCTTAGGCCAAGAATCTTCCACTAAGCTTTAACTCCTTTCTTTGACATCTTACAGGCTGTATATCCAGATATATCCAAAATCTAACCACTTCTCACCACCTCCATTGTGACATCCTTGATTAATTCCCTGGATTATCCTAAATGGTCTTCCTGCTTCTTTCCTGCTCTTCTCTCCTCACCCCTCAAGATGGTTTTTAATAGGACACAGTGATTGATCCTTTGAAATTATACATCAGGGCCTGCAGATGGCATGG